TAAGTGAGAAGATTTGAATCCAAAATCTCTTATTTACAACATCTAAAGTCCCATTTTACCACCTAACCCAACCCTCTCCCATCCCCGTCCCACACATAAAATGTCAGTTTGATTGACTAGCTTATTGTCGGGAAAATATGTGAATAATCAATGCTAGGTATCTAAAGACCGTGGAAAAAGTTGGGCTACTATTTTTTTATTTTCATAAAGTATTAGTACATTAAAAAAAAGGAAAAAAAACTTAAAGTTTTTTATATTTTCATTAATACTGTGTATACTGCTAAAAGATGAACTAGAATGCAATTAAAACAAGGGTTTCTTTAACGGGTGCCCTGTTAATATACCCAAATCAATTGCATAACCGGCCCAACCCATATTTATTAGCAAGCTCTTGCATGCCTTGATTTCGGTCTTGATTGAATCAACGATACGCTGGGACTGGGAGTGGAAGCTATGGATCAATGGTTCTTTAATGATGAAGAGTCCGTCTTGTTGGGGCGGAAACTTCCCGAAAGCTAGCTGGCCGGAATTGAACTGCTATGGCTGATATGCCGGATGAAGGTCTCAAGAATCATTTTAAAAATGTAAATGCTATGGATATAATTTTGCAGAAATTTTGAAACTGCTTGTGGATAAAAAGTACTAGTTTTTACCATAGCCTTCACAATCAGAACAGCCCAATAAGCAAAAGCCCACGCCCATTGATCTGCTATCATACCAACGACTTCTAATCTAAAAAAAGTATAAATAGTAAGAAATAGGACCAAGTTCGGTGCTTCGACTACTACAGAGGCACTTTGAGGTTGACTAAACAACAAACACTTTTAAATCCTTCCAGAACCCCAAAAGCAAACAGACATTTGGGCATGAAACTGGATTTAATAACAGGAACTACTTTACTTAGTCTTCATTACCAACAGATATTTAGACATGGAATTGGATCAGTACTGTTGAACGTGCATAAACATAAAAAAAAAAAATAACTATGAGATGTAAATTCCGCCCCAACATGTAGGAGGACCAGGTGTGCAATATGATGACGGAATTGGAGACTAGAGTATATATTAAACAAACCAACTCTTAATCTAATTACGCTAAATAGAGAAACATTACACTCGATATCCTTAAATTTTACCCGTTCCAAGAGGCTGCCTAGATGTGTCCCCTGATGCCCACGCATGGTAATCCTTCACCAGCTGCAAACCAGAGATGAATGACCAGACCCAGCAGCGAGAAAATAACCAATTAAAAGTCAAGGATATCCGGACAGAGGAATGATAGATTGATAACAACAACGTAGGTTCTAAACATATAAATAGGTTGAAGACATTAATAATCATGTTATAGAAACGAAGCTAAATTTTTTTATTTTACTTTTGTCTCTTGCACCTCTATAATCTTGGATGGCAAGTGGTAGTGGGAAGTATTTCGTTAACCAAGCAGTCCTCAACTTGAGCAAGGTAAGAAGTTAACTAATGGGACAAAGTACGCATTAAATAAAATGATTAATCTTCTATACACTGAAAACAAATACACTATCACCGGTGGATGCATGACAATTGATCTAAATTTGAATTTGAAATCCAAATTTTGCATGTGTTAAGGATCCCCTTGCAAATCAATCCTTTTATCTGCAGCCCCTTGCAATGACCAAGGCAGATGATGCAGCTTTACACCATTACACACAAAATTGAAAGGGAAGAACTATGGGGAGCTATGGTTAGAGTAACTTCACTGCCTTAAACTACTCTCAAGAGGGAAAAAGTTTCCTTGGCTGTGCTTCATCTGGACCATGCAGATGATGGAAGACAGTGCAAGTGACTGGAACAACTAATAAACCTAATGAAGTTTATAAAACTTCTCGAGTTTAATGACTAGTTTAGACCTCAAATGGGACAGAAGACATGAAAGGATAAGTTCAGAGCCTCAGACAAGGGGACATGACACTAGTTCTGTATTCACTAGCTTCAGTAGACTTCAAAAGGACCCACCCACTTAACCCCCCCCCCCCAACAAAAAAAAAAAACCAAAATAAGGGGCAAAAAGAAGACGGGGGAAAGAGGGTCAGATTTTTTTTTTCAGGGTTTTAATTGGAGATTTAAAGAACAGTCATGCTGTTTAATGGGAGACAGATCCTGAAACTCTTGTTAAGTCTTTGTGGGAAGAGTAAGGCCCACTCAGGAGCGCTATTGAATGCATGAAGCTTCTCCCCAGGAAGTGGTTGATGAAAGGTAAAATTGGCAAAAGGCTTTGTATGAATTATGGAACCAAGGGTGCCAAAAAAACAAAGGCACAGAATGCAGCAGCACATAAAACCAAAGAACCCACTATACCTCTAGTCGGGTGAAGATACTGGAAAAACAGGCCACAATAGACAAGAAGGCAAGAAGATGCGGAAGCTCTGGAAGTCAATCAGTGACTGTGATAAAGCTACTCGCAACCTTAAGAAGATGTGGAAGATCGGAAAACCAACTTAACACTCCCCACCACAATATGAGCTGACAGCCAAAATAACAGCTTAAGACAGATTTTGTTCCACCTCTCAGCAACATGCACAAGAACCTTCCTTTCCCAAAAGACACCCCATGCCCTTCCTCTCCCACCATGACCAAAATCTAGAAGGTTAGTTATTCCAAACCAGGTAACTTTGGACAAATTCAACATCAATCCTAATTTGCAACATTGCCTTCGTATTAATATGAATTCCCTTCCCATCCATTTAATGTCACATCACAAGTAGTACATGCACATAGAGGTCACTCATAAACCTCAAAATGCCAGCCTTAACATATAATAAATTCCCCTTCCCTTCCATAGAATGGCCTTCACGTTTTTCGGGTAAACATCATAAACAAACTTCACAGTTAGGCAGGATAGGAACCAAACAGTTACAATTAATTTGTCGTATTCCAAAATCCAAGTCCTCCATTGTACTTTCCTGAGTATTTTATCTTTTCACTCATAAAGCTAGAGTATGTAAAGAAGGTAGACTTCACAAGTCAAACGACAAAAATGGAAGAGAACAATAGCTACAGGCATATATGCACAGGAATCATAAAAGAGACCAACTATCTTGAGCAGATTTAACTGAAATTAGAGTTAAAGGCTATGCCAACAAATTTATTTCCAAAATCTTTGCACATTTTGGCATACCTGGGCCATAAACCGGGGAAGCATGATCCTTAGAACTTGTCCTAGGACCTGGGTGCCAGTCGATTCAATTGCTGCTTTTGGAAGTGCTTGAAAGGGAAAAGGGATCTCAATGCTTACCTGCATACCACATGCCAGTTGCAGAATCAGTTAACAGGATACACAAGAATCAAAACCAGTGATTCAACATAGAAAACAGAGGCCAAATCATGGTCAGCACCTCAATAACTGCATCTGAGGTAAGTTGCTGCACTGGTACTTCGCTTTTTGAGGTATCATACTTGATTTTATTCTCCATAGAAGCTGCATGCCCATACCAAATCAATGTCAAAGCTCTCCTGAAAGAATTATATAATGAATTTCAGAATCCAACAACACGAGAATCATCACTCTCCCAGCAGAGAGATCCTTATTCTTAAAATTTCTAAAGAGAACCCTTAAACCAAATTGAAGGCTTTACGTTGTTGAACTACATTCTCTCAGGTGCCACACTGTATCGTGTATACTAAATGAAAACTCAAATTTCATGAAAATTTGAAATACATCAGAAAGGCTTCTTGTCGTTCTCAGTTTCCAGGATGTCTGTTTGGCATATAAGTTTTCTCAGAGCATTATCTCCCACGCACATTGTATAAAGAACAAGTACAACCATTTCATGACTCTGCTTTTATCATAAGTAAATCAGGAAAACAGCTAAGCCCATCTTAGGCATGTTGATAATCAATACCATATTTCCCCAAAGTCTAACAAGTTGGACTTCAACAGCATCATCTTACCATTAAAAGACACTTACCATCAAATTTGTTGTTCTGCGCTACCACAATTGGCGAACCCTCAAGCTGAAATTAACATTGAACCAATTTTTTTAGAGAAACAAAAATTCATGCATACAACAAAAAATAAAGCGAAACATATGTTCACCTTGCAAGACAAGAGCTTAATACAACAACCATCAGGCTGCTCCTCCACTCTGACTAACAACACAGGGCAAACTTCAAATGCAAAGAACTTAAATCTGTAAACATAACACCTGAAGGTGCTATCATCTACTCTTTCTATCCTTTCCGCATCCAACACCGAGTACTGACTAGCAGGCAAGCTCATATACTCGCCTGGAAAAAACAATTTATAAAAAAGAGAGATACAAAAACACTTGAACACATTTTACACTAGTTAAGCATCTAGAAAAATCAGTCAGCCGGAAATGGAATGAAATAGTACTCAGAGGACGTTGGAGCTGTCGGACGGAGACGGACTCCGTCCGCCTTGCCACAAATCGAGCCTTTGGAGCAGCAGAATCAGCTGAAATGCGAACTGAAGATTTCGACGAATCGTCAGTTAAACTGGAGAGTACTCGGGCAGATAACCTAGGGTATCTAAACCGGGACGAAAGCGAGCTCCAATGCGTTGAAGATGAACTCAAAGCCATGTTCATCTTCTCCCTTTTCTTTCAGAAGAAATCTCGTTTAATTGGATCTGTGATAGTTAGTTTTACGAGCAGATGCGGGGAAGGATAAGACCACGAGGGTATGGTAGTCTTTCGCTAGGTGGCGACGAAAACATCCGGCGCATTGTGGCTATGGGCCCACTGTTTCGGCTAATTTACGCCTACTAAAGATGACGCAAGTCCCAGATAAGCAACAACTGCTGATGTCACAAAATCCAGTTAGACATATGAATATGCCGTAGTAATTAGCTCATTCCTCACGCATTCTTCAGTTTTATCGACCCGATTTCGATTGCAATTAGTCAGTAAGTTTATTAATTAATCCGGATAATTCAGCATAGATTAGCGCCATAAACGTCGTCGCGCCAATACTAGAACAATCAATATGGAAATTAGTCACAGATTATGCCTGGAAACTTAGATTTGATCAATTACGAACCAGAGATTCATTACATTCGAAAGACTTCATCAACCATTTTTACACTAACAACTACTACGGACATCAAACCCTAATTTCAACTCTAAACATAGGATTCTAGAAACAGAAAAAACCAAAAAAAAGCCCAAAATAAGATAAGAAAACCCTAGAAATCAACCGTTTTCTCTTCAATTTCCTCAAGAGCTAGTGAATTTGGTAACAGCCTTGGTGCCTTCGGAGACGGCGTGCTTGGCCAATTCACCGGGAAGTACAAGTCTCACAGCAGTCTGAATCTCCCTCGACGTAATCGTCGGCTTCTTGTTGTACCTGGCGAGCCTGGAAGCCTCCTGAGCCAATTTCTCGAAAATATCATTGATGAAGCTGTTCATGATACCCATGGCCTTGCTGGAGATCCCGATGTCGGGATGGACTTGTTTTAGCACCTTGAAGATGTAGATCTTGTAGGTCTCGCTGCTCTTCTTGACTCTCTTCTTCTTTTTGTCGCCAGCAGCGGCTCCGCCTTCCTTCGGGAGTTTCTTCCCGGCCTTTGGCTTCTTCTCTGCCGGAGCCTTCTCGGCTGCTGCTGGGGCTTTCTCGGCCGCGGGCTTCTTCTCAGCCGGCTTCTTCTCCGCCTTTGGTGCCATCGCTGCTGTTGAAGCTGAAATTAGAGAGACTTTGACGGGAAGGATGAAAAGAGGGCTTTGATTTAAAGACCGGAGAGGGCAGATATGGTTCCGTGAAGAAGGCGGTTTGTTTATATAGGAGAATCCGGGTGAGCCCTGATTGGTGGAAATGATATGACGCGGATCATGGATGTGAGCCGTCGATTTTGATGAGTACAGAACGGTATGGATTGTTTTGGGTCTTGGATTTGGAATTTTGGACGTTTTGGCCGGAGATTTGAAAATTGAATTTCGCACGCTTCTTTCCGCAAGGATTGGTTTGGTGCCCAAACTTCTTTTGGATCTGCGAGATTTTCCAGACGAGCTTTTCTGGATAAACAAAATAAGAAAAAGCGAAGCTGGAAATTGATAATCAACGGTTTTAAGCTCTCATTTGGACGGCCAAGAAAATTAATCCGCAGTTCCACACTGTAAATTGTGGGCGATTTTGGTAATTTTACATTATACTTGTAAAAGTACTTCATTGGTAACTAACAAAATTTTGATGATCTCAAAGTTTCTTATTTTTCACCTAATTTAATTTTGAAATTTAAATTTGAGGACTCTTCATTTTCTTTTTATCAGTAGGACATGCATCCAATGTTGTTTATATTCAACCTGAATAACCAAATTTATCCTAATTCATTTTCTTTGCCAATATAATAGTGGTAGTAATAAAAAAGATAGAGATCGTGGTTGATATTTTAGTATAAGAATAGAATGACTAAGGGTGCATTTGATAAATTTGATATCTGAAAACTGAAATATGAAGTTTGAACCTATTAAATTATTGAATTATTAAGTATTAAATCAAATATATTTGAATATATATCACATTTAATAATAAATAAATAGCGTACCACTTATTTTTTAGAGTAAGTTTTGCTTAGAAAATTCAGTGGCACTTAATTAATTCAAATATTTAATTGTTTGCAATCAAACGCATCTGGATATATTAAAATCTGAATACATGAAATTTAATATCACTTTTTAATCATTGATTATATTTAAATATTACACTATAATTAATCTCAAAAAAGGTTAGTGTAATTTTTGAAATTTGGAGAAAAGTTAGTAAAATAGTCAAAAACCTCATGGAAGGTTTTTGAAATTATCCCTATTCATTAATAGGGAAAAAATTATATGCGATCAATGCATAATTTGATAGATTGAGTTTAAGATACTAAATATAGCGTGCACAATTTGCAAAATGAGCCGAGTTAAATTGGGTTGTGGCTTAATCGAATAGAACTCAACTTTAGTAATCTTATACTCAAGCTTGAATTCAATTGAGCTCTAAGTAAAAAACTCAATCCCGAGTTCAAATTGCTGTTCAACCCTATTTGACCTCAAGTTTGAGCTTAGTCAAATTAAAATAAAAAATATATTATATTTTAAAATTGGATAAAACCTATTTTTACTTTAATAAATAAAATACAATAAGGGATGTAAATTTAATCTCTCTACTAATAAAAAATTTATTAAAAATATATAACGATCGTGTTGGCTTGATAAGTCGAGAAACCTAGTATATGCATGTATCCCTAAATTTTTATAAATTATTAACAAAAAATGACTATTTTATTTATTTTTTAAAATAAAATATTTATTATTTTAATTTTTGAACAGGCTCGACCCCCCGACCTCAAGTTCGGTTATGCTCGAACTTGAGGTTGAGTTCAAATTTGAATTTTTTATTGAAATCCCGTCGAATTCGAACTCAAGTTTGTACTTGGTAAAATTGAGTTGAAACTCAGCATGATTAAATTAAAGTTCGACTCGATTTGATTCGTTTGTAACCCTAATATAAGGATTTGCTCCCATTATTGGACAAAACATATATTCCTTTTCAGTGCTTTATTGATTGTGATCTTATGAAACATCTTTAGAGTTGAAACATGAATTAAATTACTCGATACTCGAACCGAATTCAGTCTGATAAGAGATTATTCAAACTTGGTTTGCCAACTAGTCAAGTTAAGTTTGAACAGCGTTCTATGTTCGATAATATTCAAACTCGATAAAAAGCTTATTCAAATTCGGTTCAACAAATAAACAAGCTAAATTTGAACAAAAATTCGAATTCGTTAAAATAATTAAACAAGTTTAAACTCTAGGGAATTTGACTTAATTAGATTTGTTCACACTCGTAGACCTTTTCCACTTGTATGGCATGAGGTCAGGCAACAATTTACACTAGGCCAAAACTGCAAATGCAACGGTGAATATTTAATGCAAGTGGCTAATATCTATGACTACAAGATATAAATAAATAACATGCTTTTAAATGGCTTACCATTTTCCCCCCAAAAAAAAAAGATTTTAGAGATTATTTGACTAAACTCGCCCATTCTGTCATATGAACCAAAAGAAGTAAAATGCTTTTGATAATAAAAACGTGCTAAACCTACGCAATCGTCTGGCAAATCTTTTTCAAGCTAATTGTAATTCAACCATCAAATTTATCTACTAGTATTTGACAATCCATTCTAGCATTGACTTGGAATAGCTCAACTCTTAAAGTCTTACCATAACCATTCTTTTAACGATAGGTTGATCACACATAACCTTTCGTCATTAAGTACAATAATATCACAACTAATTTCTTATATGGTACATAACCCCAAAAGTTCACTTTTTTCTTATATCCCATAGTCCTATCTAACTCATCTCCGGTTCAGACACAGCTCGCACAAACAAGCCAAAAATAAATAAACCTCCGTTCCTTGTAGAAAAAGAAACGATCAAGAAGGAAAGATAAAAGAGCAAAGATTACCCCTATTAAAACCTGTACTAGCGCTAATTCGGTGATCCCAATAGCTAAATTCCTAATAGGCATAGACCAGCTGCCAAACCCTGCCCACAGCTCAGCAAAAATTTTCAATAACCTTGCACAGTCACATGATACTTCCCCTCCTCTCCTGCTCTTTTCCCTTATAATTCCCACCCAGGTGACGCGGCTATTTCAACACCTAAGTAACCCACAGCCCAACCCCACCCGCCTTCTGCCTTCTGCCTTCTGCCTTCTGCTCTGTCTTCGATACGCTTCTATTTACGCATTCGCCCGCATTCCTTTTTGACATTTCCAAATTTTGCTTCTTCTCCATTCTGCTGCTCATTCCTCTTTGCAGACTCTACGCTGCTAATGCTCTGACTCTTCCTCTTATCTCTATTGTCTAAAATTTTTAAATTATATAGATTACATTTACGTAATTTCCAGTTCGTTATTGAAATAAACAGGTATTGAAATATGTCAATGGAAGGAGCGGATTCTGGATTTGCTGCGTCTGCTGACGGTTCGCAGAATCAGTCTCCTTCGCCTCGCAAATCTCCTCCTTCTCCTCCAGGTTTTATCCGTTTCCTCTGAAAGATCTGTAGATTTGTTGTTGAATTTTGACTTGCATTTGAATTTTTTTGATGATCTGTAATTCGCATTTTCACAGTTTGTTGTAATTTGGCGTTACAATTGCCTATGACATCTGTAAATGTGACGTAAGAGACACCTGAGGTTTACTTATTTTTCTGTTTTTTTTTTTGGTCTTTTTTTCATCATGGTGGTGGTTGTGTGTTATTGAAAGTTCAAACCCTAGGAACAGTCGGAATGTGGCGAAATGGCATTTTGTGTTCTTTTAATTTTGTTATTTTTTGGCCACTTAATCAGTCTATGGTACTAAAAGAAATACAGACACAATTAGAATTGTCCTGTATAGAGGAAGGCCAGAGGTTTAACGTTTGGGATCATTGTGTTTCGGTTCATGCTTTAGTTTTCATTGAATACGACACTTTTGTGTGTAGAAGATGATTTAGTAAGAAATATTGCTATCTCCGTTAAAATGTGTTTATGTCAATGCAAATGCTACGACCACTCTGGCAATAACGATGTTTGTATGCATGTAATCCTTTTGAGAAAAGAATTAGAATTATGACTGCTGAAAGAGTGAAAAGTGCTTTGCTCAATATTTTGTGTAGGCTTAATTCTGTCCTAAGTGATATCAATTTCAGTATTCTTAGCTGTTTGGTTTGTTAATGCACTATTTACTTTGCATATTGTTATTAATCACTAATCAGCAAACATGGAGTTGTATAACATGAATAGAGAATTAAATATTAATCATGAGAAGAGAGAGGACAGAATTTGGAATTGTAATTTCATATTTTAAAGAAGCACAGTAATGAATAATGAATGCAAATGATGTAATAGAAGTATTGTCGTTCACGTGTCATACTAAACTCAAAATGAGGTAATTTTAGTTATAGGTATTAGATGATGGGGCCTTAATGAAGTTATCTTAAGGGACATTATCATGATTTATAAAATGATTAGTAAATGAGGTTTATATGAAGATCAAAACATGGTAAGAAGCATAAATTCATGAGTAATGAGGATTGTAGAATCTAGATGATATAAATTCCCTATTAAGTTCTGGTCGGTTATATTTTGTTGTCTTTGCTAGTTGCATCAGTACCTAACTTCTTTCACTTTCTGTTCAGATCATGAAGAGAAGACAACTCACATTAAGTTTCTTCTGTCAAATGCTGAAGCTGGGTCTGTCATAGGGAAAGGTGGCTCAACCATAAATGATTTCCAGACGCAGTCTGGAGCACGAATTCAACTATCACGCAATTTTGAATTTTTTCCTGGGACATCCGATAGGATTGTTATGGTATCTGGATTAATTGATGATGTTCTCAAGGCAGTCGATCTTATCCTGTCTAAATTGCTGGATGAGGTGATCTGAGTTACTTAATATTCGTTTCAGAAATTGTTTGAGGTTGAATGTGAAACATAAATATCTTTTCTTATGCAGTTTTATGTTGAAGAAGGCGGAGAAGATCCCCGATTTAAAGTTAGGCTGGTTGTTCCAAATGGCTGTTGTGGTGGAATAATTGGAAAGGGAGGCTCTATTATAAAGTATGGAATACTCCTCATTTCGTTGTTGTTGTTATTCTTTGTGTTTGAAGCATTTTCATTGGGAAGTTTCTTGTGTTCACATTTATTAAGAGCATTGTTATGTCAGAAAGTGTGTAATGTAAGTGAGAAATTGGTGATTGACTTGTATCTTGACTTAAAAAATGATAGAGATGTTCCCGATGGAGCAAGTGCTCCATGTCATATTATTCAGTAGTTTGTTATCACAGTGCATTGGTAGTTTAAATTTCTCTGATAACATTGACATTCATAGTTTTATCTCATCTGGTCTATAATTTTCATTAGCTAATCAGACAACTGGGGCTCTAAAAGGATAGTATTTAGCAGTTCACTCAATTCAGCAGTGACTGGAGTTCTGGAAATATTGCTGCAAATTAATGTAGCTTTTGGTTATCAAAAATCTTAGAGACTTGGCATCTCCAAGATGGACTCTCCATCTAACACATGCATGCGATAATACATTATTGGCATAGGATAAAACAATTTGCATGGTTTTGATTCATTTACTATTTGAATTATGAATTTGGTGCTTCAGGGAAGAAACACCCCCGCCGGGGGGTGGGGTTTGGAGTTTGCATCTAGGTTCAAACTTCCCTTTTTATTTGATAGAATTTATGAATAAAATATGGCTGGGTTTTAAAAAATAATATCAAAATCTCGCTGCTATTCTATTCTATTTTTCTGTGTGAATGTGAATTTTCTGTAGATATGGACATCGGTATAGTTACTAATAGTCTAGGGATAGATATTTGTAATCACTATAGGGTCTTGGCTTTGTAGCATTACCCAAATCTAAGTGAAAAAGCAGTTGAAAAAATTAAGGAGGAGCTCATAAATTGTAGAAGTATTTCATGCAACTCTTTTTGTGCACAGAGACAAGTGTATTTTGAGGCAAAGATTGTACCACTTTTATGGCACCATTGCTAATACTCATTAGATGATTTTAGTATCACATGTCTTAAAACATTCTGGCTTGATTTGTTTTTAGGTCACTTATTGAAGATTCTCATGCCGGCATCAAAATATCCCCTCTAGATAATAGTTACCCTGGCCTATATGATAGGCTAGTAACAGTAAATGGCACTCTAAGGGAACAGATGCGGGCGATTGAGTTGATTCTGTTGAAGTTGGCAGAAGACCTCCATTATGTACAATCTGTCAGTGCACCATTTCCGTATCCAGGTACTGATAGTCTGCTGAGAAGACAATCTTTGTCTAAGATTTAAGTAGATCTACTAGTATTTGCTCATTCTCATTGCATGTTTTTTTCTTCTCAGTCATTTATTTTTGAAAATTATTTCTTTTTTGCAAAGTTTTTCCAAAATGGTTTGCTGTGGATTTAAAGGAATTGTAAGTGATTCACTTGTTTTGTTACAAAGAACTTTTGGGGTTGTTTGAAGTCTCTAAAGAGAATGAAATCCTAGAATAAAAAACATCCTATATGTGCTTGTTTGGGAGTGTGTGGCTTTTTAGTGGTTTTTGAAAGCTCCAACAAGGAGCTTCTCTGGAAGCAAATAATTTATCCAAAGAGTAACTATGATTTTAAGCTGAATACCTGTAGAAGAACCTTTGGAAAAGAAGAGCGCTTCTAGCAAGAAACACCATACTTCCAAATGGTCTCTAAATTAGCTTAGACTGCTCATTTGAAGTCTGTATTGTCTGGAAACAGCTCTATGGTTGGATGAAGTAAAAAATTTTGGAAAAGGGTGTTTTTTACTCGTAGGTTATTGCAATCACCTAACTAAAAACAGTTTTGGTGCAAGCCTATCTATATCAGGTTCCTTGCTTATTGATTGTAGGCATCACCAACAGCTTGGCTCATGCTTCAGATCATTGTACTGGTAGGAAGGCTTCAGGATCAAAGTAACTTGTATTAAGCGGACTTAGTTTCTTTCTTTGCTCAAAATATACTTTTTTTGGGAATAGATGCTTGATTCAAACTGAAGTTTTACAAGGAAATGCCAAGTTTGTGTTTCTTTAATTTGTTTCCTTTTTGAAACCAACACATCAGCTGTTCTTTAAGTTCTGTGAGTTTTCCTTCTACTTGTTACCTTCTGGAAATTTTAAAAGGTTGTTTCTTTTAATGTACTTGCATATGCCTTTTTTGGCTTACATTGTGGTTTCTACATGCTGGATACATTAGAACATCGTCATGGACGGCAATTTAGCAATTTTTTTGAAGTCAAGGGCGATGAGGTCTTTTTTCCTGTCTCTGTTCGTGCACTGCTTTAGGTGGTTGAGGTTGTTACATGTTCACAAAATTAACTGTCAGGGATTTTAAAGATATCCTCTTAATTTTATTTCTAGGAAGTTAATGGCCTTTGCAGTGTACTTTGTTCTTTTATACGATCTGATGTATTTGGAATAATTGACATCTGATGCTACGTTCATTAGATACTAGATTCTTGACTTTGACGATATCAATTTGAAGGTGTAGTCAACCTATCCCTTTGGTTTTTTGGATGGTTTCAGTAGTAGGCTACAATGGAATGAACTATGCATCAAATGGAGTTGGAGGGAAATTTCAGAATGCCAGGTCTCAGAATAAGGTTGGCCTCTTGAGTTATATTCTGTTGTCCATCTCTTGCATCTTGGTGCCTCTTTTTGTTAAAACTACCTTATGCTCCACATTTTCTTTGTCAGATTAGAGTCATGATTTCTCAGAACCCCACTGTGCAGATGCTTTTGTGTATATTCTTTTCGTTAGTCTCTTCCCGACTTAGAACTTAATAAGTTACAGAACTGTAGATTTTTCTATATGGCTTACTTTATCAATGTACTTGTTTCTTTCCATTACCATATTCTTTTAACTGTGTACTTTGTGTTTTTTTCTAGGTTCATTTTATTTACAATCCAAGTTTGCAAAAAACATAAAGATTCATTTTTTTAATACAAGTGGAGCCTAAGGCGAATAAGCAATGGCAGTGCCTGAACATACCTAGCATGACCATTAGCTCAGGAAGATTGATGATAAGATAAAACTAAGAATGTCAGGCAACAACATGTAACAGTTGTTGAGAATTAATTTAGATATGTGTAATTGTACACGGGACAAGTGTGGTTCTTAACCTTTTGAGTGGCGGCCCCCTTTGACACCCTCCCTTTGATGGCAAGGATACAGCTTCTACTCTAGAGGAGCTCATGTTCTTTGATGCAAAGCATGACGGCAATCTGCTTCTTTTTCTAAACTTACTTTTTGTTTATAGTTACACAGTTTCTTGTTTTTCTTAGTTTGGCTGACCATATGTCATTCTATAATCAGCAGGAGGAGAGGAGTAATTCTGTAACAATTGGTGTTGCAGATGAGCATATAGGGTTAGTTGTTGGCAGGGGTGGAAGGAATATTTTTGAAATTAGTCAGGTAGAAATTCCTCATTCTTACTTTTGTCTTTTATCTTGCTGATTATGCAGAAAGTTTCTCTTGATTTGACAATTGTGAGGCAGCTTACTAAATGGACTCCTAACTTTGCAGCTTAGCGGGGCAAGAATTAAAATTTCTGAAAGGGGTGATTTCATGTCTGGGACATCTGATAGGTATGAATGGTTCACTTTTGTTGATGTTGGGTCAATTCTGCTACTGGGATGTTTTAAAGCTTTTGTCCTTTCTGCAGGAAAGTTACTATCACGGGATCCCAAAGAGCTATCCGTGCGGCTGAGGCTATGATATCTCAAAAGGTATCACCAGTCTCTGAGAGGTGATGAAGCAGGTTTTCATGTGTTCTCGTTGGAGTTCTGAGTGGTCCTACCTTGTCTATGCACATTCCATAACTTTTGTTAGTTATGGACATTCCTTGCTGTGGTTAGTCCGTTAAAACTCTGGTGATTGCAGAAGATTTATCACGGTTTCTTTGGAAGAGAGCACTTTCCTAATGAACATCGTGGAAAATTATTCTTAAATGAAAAATATTCAGAGTAGGACATTATAACTGACTCCTTAGACAAAATATAATACTTACATTTTACGGATAACATATAAATGTAATTCATTAAGTTAGAGCTATTATGTCTGAGGTGTATTCTTCGGATACTAGGCTTGAGATTAAAAATTTTGAGGCTCCCTTCTGTTGGTATGGTGTTTCGACATTATATGTCATGCATTTGTTGGTATTTGTACTTTTTGCGGTTTCAATTTCCAATAGCATCTGGAAGGCTTAAGCTGCTAAATTAGCCCGAACTTTTTGGGGAATTCTCAATGCTGGAGTTGCTGATGCCCATTGCCAGATTAGTTTCAAGACTGATCTGGGGTCGATTGATTATTGTCTGTTTGATCATTTTTTCATTGCATTACTAGTGCTAAATTAATTATATTTGTTGTGTTTAGATTTTAGAAGGATTGAGGTAAGTTCAGTCAACGTTCTATGTCGAGAGTTTTTTGGGATTTGGCTAAATTATTTCTTCATTACATTACTAGTGGCTAAATTAATATTGGAACTCTCATATTTGTCTATCTTTTCTTTTGGGGTGGGGGACTGGGATGGTTGTGGAAGGAAGGAATTTGAAGATACTTTAAATTGGATGAGAGAAAAACATTTACCTTTTTAAATTAGCACTTGCCAGAAGATGCTTACTACGCTGATGCCTACGTCGCATTTTATATTTTGGTGTGCTTATATTTAAGTGCTATAAAAAAGTTTGGTACAGATTCTTGAATTATCCGCATTTTGTTATTTCCACAGTCCCCATCACGGCCCCTAATATTTTTTTTTCTGCAAAAGATAAAAAGTTTGTGCGCTCTCAGACAAATTTTGAACACTCACACATGCAGCAGGTGAAATTCACTAGATGCCACTTATTAGCTATTAGATTTTCGATTCATTACATTGTTTTCTGGGGACCAAATACCTTGCTGAGATCCGTCTTAAGAAATGATAATAAACTTTCATTTTGAAAATTTGTTTTGGCGTCCAATTCTCAATATCAACTGTTTCGATGGTTCTTGCTTCTTTCAAGATTGTTTTGTCCCGTTAGAATTTTCCGTCTTCGGTGAAAGGTGATGCTTTCATGGTTATATAGCGGTGTTACTTCACTAATGGTCGTATTGCTACTTGCAAATAACTCGCTATTTTTTTTTTCAACAAAATAAATGGGAGGCTTTCAAAATGAAATGCCAAAAAGTTCCTCAAATGATAGAGTAATAGTAGTACAGAATGAAATCACAAGTATTTTAGAATACCTACATGCAAATAAGACAAGCATGCAACTTATTTTTGCAATTACAGATGTTGATGATGGAATGGTAGTATGAAGGAGATAGTCCTATGCATTTGCAGTAGTTCATGGCTCCTCGCTTCCGTCACCGCCACCATATCCTGATCCATAACCAGACCCATAACCTGAGCCATATCCAGAACCACCACCATGACCTCCACCGCCTCCACCACCACCACCACCTCCTCCGCCTCCTCCTCTCCCACCACCACTTCCATATCCTGAACCACTGCCGCTTCCGTAGCCTGAACCACTTCCTCCACTACCTCCGCCTCCTCCTCCACCTCTGCCACCACCTCCTCCACCACCTCCTCCCTTTCCTATTCCTCCACCATAGCCTGAGCCGTAACCAGATCCATATCCGTATCCTGAACCATTACCAAACTCTGAGCCTCCACCACCACCACCACCACCACTTCCACCTCCACCTCCACCTCCACCTCCACCGCTTACATGTCCCTCGTCATAATTACCCTGTTCAGAGCCACTCCCCGAACCAGAACCAGAACCTGAACCGCGCCCCTTCCCACCACGTCCTCCTCCTCCTGCGTCAATGGCCACCTTTCCAAGTCTAGCAGCAAAAGCAAGATCCACAAGAAGCAAAACCAACAATGCATAAGCTATCAACTTGGGATGGGCCATTTTCAAATTAACTCCCAATATGCAAACAAGTAGTATAAGGATTGGTTTATATGTGTCTTTCTGTGCTTAATTAAGAATGTCTAGGAACTGAAAACATAACGAGGTTTGGAATGCTTGCCAATGAGGTTAAGGTAGGGGGTCCTTTATATAGGCATTTCGAAGCCAACATTCTTAAGTTGCATGGCTTTCTAGTAGCTTCTCAATACTACTATTTATGATTGCAAAATGGAACGGTCTATTGTGATACAGTGATAGTGGTGTTGGTGGCGTGGTGATAATGGTTGCCTGTCCTCTGATCCTCTAGCCTTTCATGCAGATTCTCCACAAAGTTGGCTCCCACTTTTGACTTGAGGCTCCTAACGAACTTAGATAAGGGGATCAGTGGGATGCATTATCTGATCTCAACTTTGTCTCAATGTTCACATTTTTCCTAACTCTGTCAAATTTTTTTGTTCTGGTTTCAGGTTCACATTTAAGAATAACCAATTCGTTGTCGGTGAAATCCATCAGAAAATTCGATTGCGTCTTGGGTTGTGTTTGAGCATATGTTTGTCGCCGGATAATATGTGAGGGCACCGCCGTGGAACGGACATCTAGAGCAATCTTTTCCCAGCCTTCCAGTTTGCGTAAATCACATACTCTGATGCGAACTTCAGACCTTCAAATGAAAGCATATTAAGCAAACAAAACCCGACTCGTAAGAATTCACCTACATATGGGTTTGGACGATGGATAACAAAATAATCGTCGGATTTAACCATTGGAAAGTGTCTTTAATCGATTGATGATTAGTCGTGCAATCTGTTTTTATACATTTAGCAAAGTAATTGTGTAAAGCCAACAAATTTGTATGAATTAACGCCCACGAGTACAACGTTACAACTAGTGCATCAGCGACCTCTTTATGATTTATGAATTTAAAAGAACATACTAGTGTGTGTATATGTGTGTGTGTGGGTGTAAAGTCCACTCTACGAGTTTTGATAAAAGACTACCTCATCAATTAGTTCGTTGACTAGGTTAATCAGCGAATTAGTCTCAGTAAGTGTGCTGTTGCATCAACGGATTATGGTTTAATTAGATTATCTATGCCATTAATTTGATGCGTAAAGCCAACGGATTATAGACCTGTATACTAATTTTCTTGGCTTCGGTTTTAACATTTGGCTTCCCATCTCATTCTCCATTTCTCGACAGAAAAGAGTGGATTTGACTTGATTACTAGTAGAAGACACATAATTAACATTTCCGCGTATGGTACAGTCTCCAGCCTTGGACGCCCTCTTCATTCTTCACCCTTGAACATGTAGTTTTCATCTGGAAATCCTATAAAACGATGACACAAAATACAATCCACTATGGTCACCAACCCATATTCCGCTGTCAATTATCAATATGTCTATTATCCCTCGTCAGTGGTGGGGGGATTTTGTCTCCCAGCTTCGTTCGTACGTTATCGTATTTCTTCAATCAAATGACATCTGTAATCTTACCTTCTACCCTGCTTTGGTGGGCGTATGCAAACTGCAAAGCACGCTAGCTTGCACTTTGCACTTAATCATTGCTGCGGCAGCTTTCTAGTGTATGTTATGAAATCCCCACATTCTTTTCTTGTCATCATCTAAGAATTTGCTTCCATCTCATTGGTCCTTTCAGTAGACAGACAAGACTTGAATGCTTATAAGTTATATCCACACCGAGTATCCACTTCCTTCAATCTTCTAATCATTTGAGAATGCGAATAATTCCACGTTAAATGTCTCAACTAAGTTGATGAGTTGACTTCATGAATTGTCACCAAATCATTAATGGGAAAGGAATATATAGGAGATTATGTAGGGGGTGATTGTGGTTGAGAAGCAAGGTGTGGTAGATTAATTTTTTACGAAGTAATTATCTGCAAAGATTTTAAAAGAATGATGTTTAAGCGATGATAATAGACATATATGCAGATACCTGCATAGGTACATGCATATATGCAAAACCAAAAGCATCTAGTTGAATCGCAGAAAGAATCTAGTTGGATCAAGTCTGAGACTGCTGTATTAACTTAAGTGATGGGCATGATTAAGAAACAATGAAACAAGATATGCAACTGACAGAGTTTTAGAATTTATCTATCAATATGAAAATAGTAATAAAATCCTAATAAGCTTAGCAGGATGGTAGATTGTAGCTCGTTCCATGGGAATCTTCTTCAAAAAGACACTTCATTTTTTGTGAAAGGAAGGAAAAACAAGTTCGTAGTATGCTTTGTTTGGATTGCATATTTCTGGACTTTTTGTAGAAAAATAACTGTAACGATTTGATATATGTGAGGTAAAAAGGTGATTGGAAAATGTGTCCACGAAAAATGTAACAATTTTTCAAAGCAATCCAAACACACTAAGTTGGAATTAAAAAAAAAAAAGCATCTTAAAGATAAATTCTCAACCAGCAAAAATAAGTTTGGAGGACAAGTTGGAATGGTTCTCCCAATTTGGAGGATTAAGTTGAAAATTTTTTAGTTTGAGGGATTAAATTGAGATTTCATTATAATTTATAGGACTAAAATGAAACTTTATTTAGTTTGAGGGACCAAATGAAACGCACTACTGCTTTGGAGGACCAAATTGAGATCTCTTCAGTATGAGGGACCAAATTATGCTTTTTGGCCAATTTGGAGTACCAAAAATGAAACTAATTCTACCAAATAATGTCGTCGTTATCTGGATGCTCTACGACTCAACGTGCCTCCTTCGAGCAGCAGTTTAAATTCTAAAACCCTTTCAGCTTTCGCTCTTTTTCAGCCCGAAAACCCTAAAACTCCCCCGTCTCCGCCGTTGCAGGTGATAGAGAAGCTCCGCTGCTCTCCAGTCAACTATAATGGCTGTAAGTATCACCATTTTCGTTTCCTTGTCTCGTTTAAGAGACTTGTGATTAGATTTGGCTAATTTATTTGTTGGAAGTTGTTCGATTGGTCGTTTTCACTTTGTCTTGCCCGTTTAATTGGTGAAGTTAATTACAATTCTGTGTTCTGTATTGTAGCTGCTTAGCAAATCGAAAATTTTATGGGAAAACAGGAACAGAGGGAAAAAAATTTGAGAGCTAAGAATGAGAATTTGATTAGCTTCGGGTTCTGAGTTTATGTACCTCGTCTTTTGACGGAGGTAGGACTCTCGCCTTCTCTATGCCCTTTCCCTTCCCGTTTTTCCTTCCAAATCTGTCTTCCCTGCTAAAAGTTTGGATTGTCATAATGGTTAAGGAAAAATCGCATAAAATAATTACCAGTAATACGGGGCGGGGCTGGGCCGTTGAGCCAGCCATTTTAAGGTTGTATAGGGCACGTAATGCTGGTTATAATGAATTAGAGGAAGCCGGGTTATGTGGAATAAAGTTTGCTAATTGACGCTGTTGGACAGTTGGAGCTAGAGCATAATTAATATGGGGTAGGCATCATGAGATTTTTTTTTTCCAGATAATGTGGTTTGATGGGAAATTTTAGAGGGGAAAGGAAATGTTTGTCATAGCTTTCAGATTGGAAAGGAGTAAATTTCCGGTGTTATACTACCATTACTTGTGACCTTCAAGTTCAACTTATTGAGTTGAGTTTTAGTTGTTTATAGTAACACTATTTCTATGTTATGGGGATTTGGCTTCATCTGCCTTAATAATTAAAATCCTTGATTGATGCACTACACAGTTGTGCTTGTGGAGTTGTTCTTTTTTTTTTTTTTTAATAATGCATTGATGAGCAAACAGTTGTCAAGAAATAATGTATCTCTACTTGTGTTGTTTCCAGTTGGGAAGGTAGGCCATGGTAGTTATGACCTAGGGGTATTACACTGTCCAAAATTTTCAGGGGGAATGGTGTATTGCTAAACAATAGCACACGTTAAATTGTAGAATTCCCTGTCCCACCCAAAATGAACTCTTATTCAAATGTGCAACTGGAATGTAGGATGTAGTCATTACTTTGACACAGTTGTCTAGTTTATCCAGTACAACCTGAGATATTCTGTCTGCTTTGTTTTTGGAAGTATGTGCTTAAGATTGCTTCTGATACTGCTTTGTTGATTTACCTAAAGGCTCTTTCCATAATCATTCAAGCAGCGTAAGGATATCATTGTAATGTGGTTTCATGTTTTTCCATGTTGAATTTATTCATGAGTCAGTGCTGGAGTATTTTTAGTTTTTATAGCCTGAAGTATTTTGTCCATTTAATGGTCAAATTATGCTTATACACTCATTGTATAATGGCAACTATGACAGCAGCCTTATTGGTTACCTGCATTTACTTCTTATGCATCTATAGTTTTATTGGAAGCTTAATCTTCTCCTGGCATGTTTTGATGCAGACTGTACCAGTTAATCCTAAACCTTTCCTGAACAATCTTACTGGACAGCCTGTTATGGTAAAGCTCAAGTGGGGTATGGAGTACAAAGGTATTTTGGCTTGCAAGATTTGATAAATCTTTGAGTATTCTTTGGTTCTGAGCTATTGTGTCCAAGCTTTTTTTTTTTTAATTGTGTCCAAACTTATGTTCCAAAAGATTTAAATCTTCTCATTTTGAATCCATTGCAGGGTTTCTTGTCTCTGTGGACTCATACATGAACTTGCAGGTAGTGATTTAGAGGGTAATTTTGTGTGAAATAGTTTGCTCCTGTAACTGGATACATGTTGCTTTTCTTTATTAGAAAATTTATTGACATTGAAAATTGCAGAAGAAGCATTTTGTTAGTCAATTCACGTAGTTTAAGATTGTGTTTTAGTCAGCATGGTCTGAAGTTCATAGTACATGTGTTTTTGTTGGTGTAGTACTTTGAATAAATAGCTTTAGTCTGTGAATTTGTTTCCATATTGTGACAAAAGAAATCACTTGTTCGCTTTTACCATTATACTTTCAGCTAGCTAATGCTGAGGAATATATTGAGGGGCAGTTTACTGGAAATCTTGGAGAGATTCTGATCAGGTAATTTTATCTGCTAATATATTTTCTGTTTAATCTAAAAACCTTACA